AAATAACCACGAGCTATAATAGCTCCTTAACTATCTTAAAAATATCTATAGGGACCTAAATATTAAAATAAGAGTAGTAAGATAACTTTACTTAATATAGTAGTACAAGGACTAGTCCTTTTTAAGATTCCTACTATAGTTAGAAAAAGAATTTACTAATACTAGTGCCTTTAAATAGCTAGATAAGCCTAAGTAATAAGTCCTACTAGTATTACTAAACTATAAGATAACTAAAATACTATAGTATTAAGGTGTCCTTAGTACCTTCCTAGAGTTAATTACATAACTCCACGAGATTAGTGTGGATAATAATACTCTAGATATTAATTATACTAGGAACTCACGTGCTATAAGAATAAATAATAAGATAGACTAGACTCCTACTATACAAGTAAACTATACTAAGCCACGTATAAAACCCTAATAATTAGAGGCTAACCCTTAGAAGCAAGCGTGATAGGTTAGCTAGGATAAACTTAATAGATAATAGGCTAAAGAAACATGCCTATAATATAGAAAATTAGGTTATTTTATTATAAGCTATACCCTATTACTAGCACAACTACTAAGTTATACACGCGTAGTAATAAGCTCTAGTAGGATAAAATATAAGCATATAATATATATTAAGAAGGCAAAACCTATAAGTAATAATAAACTAATAGAAACCACTAATAATAAAGAAATAACTTTAGATAATAATTTAGGAAAAGAGTAGCTCCTATTATAAGCTATAAGTAGGAGTAAAAGGGTATTAAGAAGCTACTAAAATATAAGACTTTACTATTTATAGTTAATACAAGAGTAAATAGGATCTAATTTATAAAAGCCCTTATTAATAGTAGCTATTACTACTATATAACTATAAATAAGTCTCTAGTTCAGGCACTTAACCTCTCACGTATTAAGATACGCCTATAAGTCCTTAATAGAGTAGTGCTAAACTAGTACTAAATTACTTACGCTATGTATTTTAACCTTAATATACATGGCCACTAGCAAGGCTATGTATTTATATATATTATTAGACCACAGGAAGATAGCATGATTCTTAGAGATCCCTAGCTATATAATATACGCGGATAGTACTTAGCTAGGTAGGGGTATCTAGATATCTTTACTAAGGGAGGCGAATAAATAAGATATTAGAATCACGCGAACTATATAATTAGACCTATAAATATAAAAATACTATGTATAGCATAGGCCATAGCTTGTTTAATCCACTATTTAATATAGAGCTTAATAGTACTAAATTAGCTATGTATTAGTAGGGTTTTACTAGATAATATTAAAAAAGCACTCTAACTAAAGAAGTATATTAACCTAAAGGATAAGCTACTAAAGTACTATTAGTAATAAGTAGATATCTTTAGCTAATAACTAGCTAATAAGCTATCTTCACACTAGCTAGGAATCGACTATAAAATACTACTAAAATAGGACTAGAATAGTATTAAAGAGTCACCACTATATAGCCCCCTTTATAGGATGAATAAGGAGGAGCTACTCTACCTATAAAAGATACTTATAAACCTTCTTAGAAAGAACTTTATATAAGTAAGCTAATTACTTATAGCTATACTAATCCTACTAGTCTAGAAGCTAGGTAGAGGCGTATAATTCTATATTAATTACTATAGGTTAAATAAATATATAGTTAAGGATCACTATCCTTTACCCCTAATATAAGAGATACTACGTAATATAGGCCATGCCTACTAGTTTATAAAGCTAGATATTATTACTACTTTTTATAAGATCTATATTTAACCTAGAGAAGAATAGAAGACGGCCTTCTATATATAATATAGACTTTATAAATAGAATATTACCCTATTTAGGCTAATAGGCGCGCTAGTAACCTTCTAAAGATTTATTAATTAGACCCTATAAGAGTATCTAGATAACTTTATATCTATATATATTAATAATATAATTATCTACTCAAGTAAAACACTAGTGGATTACTAATAAAAGGTTAGTAAAGTACTATAGAAGCTTAAAGACATAGGACTATAGTATAATATTATAAAATTAGAGTTTAAATAATACTCTATGAAGTACCTTAGCTTTATTATCCAAGCTAAAAAGGGGGTCTATATTAATCTAAAGAAAGTAGAAGCTATTAGCGCATAAGAGATACTAAAATCTATATAAGACGTGTGAAGTTTTATTAGGTTTGTAAACTTCTATAGACTATTTATACTATAATTTACTAATATTTTAGCACTACTAACTAGACTAATAAAGAAGGATGCTATTTTTAAATAAGATAATAGCTACTAGTAGGTATTTATAGAATTAAAGGACCTCTTTATTAATACCCTAATCCTCGCGCACTTTAAAGAGGGACGAAAAATAGTTATAGAAGTAGATACTTCTAGCTAGGTAATAGGCATAGTCTTATCCTAGTATAGACCTAATAGAGAGCTATAATCATGTACTTATTTATCTTAGAGGCTATCTCTAGCTAAGTTAAACTACGAGATTTATAATAAAGAGCTACTAGTAATTATACAAGCCCTATAAGAATAGAGACTAGAGCTAAAAATAATACCCTAATTTACTATTATAATAGACTATAAGAACCTATAATACTTTAGTAAAGCATAATACCTTAATAAATAATAGATATATTAGGTAGACCTTCTAATAGAGTTTAACTTTAACCTTTACTACTATCCTAGTAAGCTAGTAGCAAGACTAGATATATTATTATAATAAAGCTAAGATATGCCTAGTAGTATTATAAATAAAAGGCTTATAAATTACTTTTAGGTACTACTTAAGAGGGTATAGATTAAGACTAGATAAGTAAACCTATAGCTAGTAAAAATAGATATTAATTTTAAGAAGGATATTCTATTATTTAAAGAACTAGACCTATAAATAGAATAGAGAAAAGTAAGGGCCTTTAATATAGTATACTAATAAATCTCTTATACTTTACTAGAGGGAGAATATTAAATCCCTAAGCTAGATATTAAGATAAGCCTATTAGAGTACTATATTAATAACTATAGATTACTCTATTTTAAATAATAAGTATAGATTCTAGAGAATAAAGTCCTATGTATATAGATTATATAGAAGATTTATAATTTATACGTAATAGTATATTCTAGGTAAGACGCTACCTATTTAATACTATCTTAATAGTTTTTCTAGCCTAGAGTAGTAAAAGATATATAATATTTCCTCTAGAATTATATGGTCTATGGACAAAGCTTAGTATAGTGTAATACTAAGTATAGACTATTAAAACTACTACTAATTCCCTAATAAATCTAGGCTAAGATATTAGTAGACTTTATTATAGGACTACCACCTTCTAGACCTATAAAAGTAATAAATTACATAGTAATAATAGACTAGCTAATAAAGAGTATTATCTTAATTAGAATAAAGAATATAACTATAGAGAATATAGTAAAGGTATTCCTTATATATTTTTATATATACTATGGAGTTCCACTAGCTATTATAAGTAATTATAGACCCTAGTTTATAAGTATATTCTAGAGTAGGGTCTATAAAAGACTATTAATTTAATACTAGTTATTAACTACTTTCTACCCCTAGATAGATAGCGTAATAAAACGTGCTAACTAAGAGATTAAATAAATCCTATATATATTTACTATATACGCGTAAGATAACTAGAAAGGCCTACTACTAATAGTTATTATTACTATTAATAATTATAATACTACTTTAATAGGAATCTCACCCTTCTTCTTTATATATAGATATTATATTAACCTAATTAGCTTAGATAAAGTAAGCTAGCTATAGGACGTCCTAATACTACTAAGAATAGTAGGTAAAATATTTATAAATTACCTATAAGAAGCTACTAATTAGGCCTAAGCTACTATTACCTCCGTGTAAGCTTAATAAGAGGAGTAAATAAACTAATAATAATAGGCCACCCCTATATATAAGAAAGATAATTAGGTTTAGTTAAACCTCTAAAATATATATATATAATAACTATTAAAGAAACTAGACTAGCTATATACACGCTATTAGGTAGTAGATATCCTATTACTATATACTATTTAGCTTAATATACCTACTAGTATACACCTAGTCTTTTATATTAAACTAGTCTACCTAGCTACTATAGACCTATTTCTATCCTAAATTATAGATAATACGTAGCCACCCCCACTACTTATTAATAGAGAAGAGGAATATAAAGTTAAACATATTCTAGCTATATAATATAGGAAGATAGGATAAGGATACTATAATAAAGTACTAGTAAAATAGGTAGGGTAAGCACGCGAGATATAAATAAAACTAGATTTTATCTAGGACTATATAGTACTAGATATCTTTAAGAAGTAACATAGCCCTATTTAAGAAGTAATTTAGCACTAACTTAATAATAATAACTATGTTATTATACCCCTTATAAGGTTTAGACTAGGAGAGGGGTATTATTATAGGCTAGTGCCTAATACTAGGCACGGGCTAGCGCCCGCACATGTGACCATGGCATGTTAATAGGAAGAACGCGACTAGAGAACTTCTCTTTCTTTAAGCTTTTCATACACAGTTCGTGGCCTAGCTAGATTGAATATAAATCCGGCTTCAGCCCTTCACAATACTAACGTTATAAGCTATAAAGTAACTTAATTAACTATAATAGTAATATCTTCTATATCTTTAAGTAGATTTTTAGATATATAAATAATATATAAAATATTATTCTTATCTATATTAGGATACTCTAGAAGGATAAGATACTCCTAAATTTCGTAAGTAATTATAGTATCTCTAGAACTAATATTTACTTAGGTTCTATCTATTTCTATACCTAGTTTATTTTATTATATAAAAAGCGTAGAGGATAGAGAGATACTATTTTCTTTATTGTTTATATAGGAATTAAGATTAGAAAATTCTTATATATTAATATAATCTTAGTAAACTAAAGTTTTAGAGGCTAATCTTTAACGCTAGTATAAAATATAAGATATATATATATTCTTATTCATAAAACCACACTTAGCTCCTTCTAAGCTTCAGTTCAGCCAAGATATGATCCACAGTGGGGAACTACATACGCCTGTACATGGGTATTCCTCAGATATCATCTTATTTATCCTTCAATCTGGCGGTTTCCGCAAGCTAAAAAGCCCGTGTCGCAACCCTCTGCTCGAACCGCGCATCCAGTTCTTCAACCCGCAGCCCTTTCATTTCTGGAATCTCGAAGAAAACTACCACCAACGCTAAAGCAGAGAGCCCACCAAAGATAAATCCTACCTTCCCCCCCAGGTCGCCCTCCGCAGTGCTATACATATAGGGTACCACGTATTGGAATACCCAGCTCACAACAAATTGTACCGCAAATCCCAGAGCCTGGGTTTTGGCTCGCAAGCGGAGAGTTGACGTCTCCGCAGCCACCACCGGATAGACACTACCTACACCCAAGCCGTAAACAAAATTGGTCGCTACGATGGTGCAGCCAACAAACCTGTTCCCGGATAATAATTAGTTTCACATCTTCATTGTGAATGTACAGCTGTTTGAGATGAAGCCACTGGAGGAGAGGAGAACGTACCAGAAAGCAGTTGTCGTTTGAAAGCACCCTCCGATTCCAATCATCAGCCAGAAAAACATAATTACGCTGGTAGCACACAGCAGAATTGTGCGGCGTCCTAGGCGACCCATCAAATACCACGATAGCAAAAGAGCCGGAATCATGAGGCTCAACGAGGCTGTCGTCACATTTAAGGCATTCTGCGCACTCATTCCTCCCAGCTCGAAGAAATAGGTTGCGTTCTGGATCATGGCAATACCAACGAAACTTTGCAGCATATTCGCATAGCACACAATGCGCGTGCGCCGCCAGTTCACACCGTGAAAGCATTCCTTGAACGTGGGAGCCTCGGCGCTTGCTTGGACACTACGTTCATGTTCAAGGGCACGCGCGAGACGCTGCACGGCGGGCCCAGCCTGCACTTCTGAAAATAGACGGGCATAGACCGCAGTGGCCTTGGCAAGGTTTCCATGCTTGACGAAGTAGTTGGGGCTTTCCGGGATGAACCAAGGCGCAAGTGCGGCGAAGCCGGTGGGGATTGCTTCGATGGCGAGTAAGAGCTGCGTGAACGTTGATATGTTCGTTATTATATAATCTCAGGGTTGGTAAAGGGGAAGGAAATTGCACCTACACGATAGGCCATTCGGCTAAAGATGGCGATGCGAGCGTTAACCCCAGCCACGGCTATGACTTGCCCGCAGACCTAATACAGTACATTAGCCATAAATTTAAGCATCAATCGAAATTGGCCAGCGCACCATTGAAAGGGTGTATGCTGACAATAGCGGCCCTTTCAGTTCAACGGGGGCTACCTCGGATATATATGTTTGCGAGGCTGGAAGCATGAATCCTAAACCAAGGCCGATGATGATCTTTGCGAAGAGAAAGAGGATTCGCCGGTTCTGCAGCACCCCAATCTCGTCAGCAAAAGCACAGATTATGCTCCCAGCCGCTGCAATGACGCCCCCAATTAAGACGGAGACTCGGCAGCCCCATCGGTCAGCAATTGGACCAGACAACATGGCCCCTGTGATGACACCCACGGCGACCATCGAGGTCCAAAGGGAGAGCCATTGAGCGGGAATCACACCAGATGTATCACCATAGACCATCCTATGGGTAAATTGTGTTAGCAGGAACAGTCTACCTAGTAGGACAAGAGAAGAGGGGAAGTAAATAACATGTTAGCCTTAGAGAAAGGAAAACGTACTGAAATGCGGGCATCGCAGTCACCAGACCGATGATTATATTATCAAAACCGGTTACAAGAGGGCTCAATGACATTATGATGCAGCAAATAATAACCCTGGGTCTTTTTTTGGCGGCCTCCCAAGGTGACATTTGCTCTTCGTAGCCCTCATCTTGTTTCGACCCAGGTGGGATTTGCTCAAGATGCTCCAGTCTGCCTTGCTCGATCTTGTCAGATTCACTCATAGTGTCTGCTGATCATGAGCAGAATGTTTTTGACCACTATCTTTGACTTTGAATCCTCGCAGGTGAGAGGGACGGAATTCAGGAGTTGGTCGATGGTACAGTGCAAGCCCCGGAAAGCCAAGGGGTTTAAATATCCGGAGGATGACACTTACATCAAAGTCACCGCATGGGTGAACAATAGAGGATCACGGTGGTTCCTTCTGAGAATTCGGGGCGATGGCCTTCGGCTGTGTGGGGGAAGCTTTCCGAAGCACCTTTCGGTTGGGGCTGCACATAAATGGAAGAAAAATTCATGTCCGTCTTTTTAAATTTCCCCGCGGCGAAATTGCGTGTATTCGAGTTCCCCCGAGATTTGCGGGCCCCACACTACTAAACCGGCTGTGGACTGTAAAACTAAAAGTCAATCGGAAGCTTTGAATCTGCTGTCTGCTGCTGATGTTCTGTAATCCGAATTGAATTGAAAATTCCGGAGAAAGGTATTTATCGGACGAGACACGTGGACACTGTGCTTTGGAATCTACTTAACCATCCGAGTGCCCTCCATCATATCATACCTGTCTCAGATTGAGTTAAAGCAATAGCAAGACCGACGACGACAAAACCCAAAAATGTCTACTCCAAGTGACATCCTACCCTATCAAAACGCCAGTCTCTCAATTGAAGACCGTTTGAACGATCTTATCCAGCGAATGACGGTGGATGAGAAAGCTGCCCTGCTATTTCAAGACATGATCATCATGGGCAAAGACGGAACCCTAGCACCTGCAGTCGCACAATTCGACATGCTAAGCAACATGGATCTCATTCATCAAAAACAAATGACACATTTTAATCTGCTGGGCCCAATAAAGGACGCCCGAGCCGCCGCCCGGTGGTATAACAACCTCCAACGGGAGGCCCGGAAAACGCGCCTGGGCATTCCAGTCACGATCTCGACCGATCCACGCAACCACTTCACCGATAACGTGGGCACCGGCTTTGAAGCAGGCATCTTCTCCCAGTGGCCTGAATCGCTCGGATTAGCGGCGCTACGGTCTGCCGAGCTCGTCGAAAAGTTCGCCGATATTGCTCGGCAGGAGTATTTGGCGGTCGGGTTACGGCTGGCCTTGCATCCTCAAGTTGACCTAGCCACGGAACCGCGCTGGGCACGTATCAATGCTGCTTTTGGCGAGGACGCGGATCTGACTTCAGAACTGGTGGCTGCATACATCCGAGGCTTCCAAGGAGGAACCGTCCTGGGGCCGCAATCTGTGTCAACGATGACGAAGCATTTCCCGGGCGGTGGGCCACAGAAGGATGGGGAAGATCCACATTTTGCGTACGGTCGTGAACAAGTGTATCCAGGTAATCAATTTGAATATCACTTGAAGCCGTTTAAGGCTGCGATCGTGGCGGGCGCGGCGCAGATGATGCCGTACTATGGTCTGCCAGTTGGTACGTCGTATGAAGAGGTGGGCTTTGCCTTTAACAAAGCTCTTATCTCGGGACTTTTGCGCGAAGAGCTAGGATTCCAGGGCATTATATGTACGGATTGGGGGCTGGTAACAGACAAGGCGATCCTGGGCCAATTGATGCCGGCGAGAGCATGGGGCCTAGAGCATCTCTCGCGATCGGGCCGCATCCATCGCATCATCGAGGCTGGATGCGATCAGCTGGGCGGCGAGTCATGTCCTGAGTTACTCAGTGAGCTGGTCACGAGCGGCCAGATTACCGAGAAACGAATTGACCAGTCGGTTTGTCGCCTTCTGCGGGAGAAATTTTTGTTAGGCTTGTTCGACAATCCCTTTGTGGACGAAGACGCCGCCGTGCAAATCGTCGGCAATGAGGAGTTCTGCAAGCTGGGTGCTGAGGTGCAACGACGTAGCTACACCTTGCTGACCAATACCCAAAATTGTCTGCCCTTTTGTCACACCACTCTTCATGGAGCAAAATTCTATCTCGAGGGCATTGCAGCGGCAACCTTGCAAGCACGCGGTCTGCAGGTGGTGGAAGACCCGGCAGATGCCGATATTGCTTTGCTGCGTCTGAAAACTCCGTATGAGCCTCGCCCCGGCGGTTTTGAGTCGCTGTTCCACGCAGGTTCTTTGGAGTTCAGCGAAGAAGAGAAAGCCCGTCAATCCAAGATTTTCGGTACAGTGCCTACGGTCGTTGTTGATATCTACGCCGATCGTCCTCCGGTAGTACCAGAGATCATTCAAAAGGCTTCTGCTGTGTTGTTGTCGTACGGAAGCTCTTCTGACGCCTTTTTAGACATTGTTCTAGGCAATTATAAGCCAGAAGGTAGATTGCCCTTTGATCTGCCTTCATCCATGGAGGCAGTTCAGCAGTCAAGATCAGATACTCCTTACGATACTCGTGACCCTCTCTTCCGGTTTGGTCACGGTATTCAGTACGGCGCTTGATTTTCGGTTCTCTACCTGTCTGACACAGATATGTTTATTCCTTTGGGCGATCTGTACATTACATTTTATAGATATCAATATACTTACCAATGAATTATGCACTTACCGGGCTGAGCTAGAATCGTAGGTCGACGAGTGTCTTCTGTGGTCATGGTTCATGCTACTACATTCTTGTGTGTCCCTTTCTCGGGTCATGGACCATGGCTCCATTCAAATTTGAGAACATCCAATAGACTTGACAGGTTTATCTACCTAGCAGAATCTTCATCCTCAACGCCGTTCCAACCACCAACCCCGCGCCTAACTGCCACCAGCCTCTTTGCTCTGCTGCAAACTGCGTCACACAACTAAACACGAATACTTCCGATTGTGCTGTGTTCAGGAGCTGCTCATATGAGTTTTGGAGTTTCTGGGCATATTGCTTGAAAAAGTCCTCTGCAGCCACGCGTGACCCGAATGCAAATTCCTCGTACCCCCCCTCAATCATTACGAGCCGATGATCGAACTGCGTTTGGTCGAATATCTGAGCCAGTCGATCTGGTGGTAGTTGTAGACTCCGATGTCGGGTATACGCTACGCCTGTTGAGCGTACAAAAGACGCATGTTCATCCCACTGCTCCTCGAAATGTGAGCCATTATCGCCTCCATCGGCAAGACGAGGCTGGATGGGGATAATGACTCGGATGTTGTCGCCCTCGCTGCTGCCAGCGGCCTTCACCAAATTCCGGGCACCATCCTGACCCAGCGGCTGGGTTAAGAATATCCAAAAGGGTTGCGCAAAGATGTGCTCTCCAGCCGATCGGCGGTAATCCTCTGTCGTGAAGGATCCCTCCATGACCTCTAGGCTGGGCCAGGTCAGCCGGGCAAAGGCCTGATAATTGGGTGTTTCTCTTGTGGGAAAGAGAGCAGCTTGCTGTAGTTCTGGCTGATCAAGGGTTGCCAGAGCTAGACCTTGCTCATATTCGTGGATGATGCCCAGATTTCGGGCGATGGCCTTGGTTTGCTCAGCGTGGACGACCTGGAATTCATGGCGGAATTGTGTATCGTTCAGGGTCGGAACTTTGCGGGACAGAATTGTGAACTGCATGTTGGATTGATCCTGGCGATGAAGAGTGATATATTGAGTGATTCCATATTGGAACTTGGAACTTTAAGGCATCCAGTATGGATATCACAATAATGATATGGAGTGCCAATGTGGACAGCCGAACCGAAAGGTGGAAGTGGGGCTCGGCGAAACTCTGATATGATGAGGGGCGCTCGGATTTCCCCGACTGGTGGATTTTACCGAGGTCTCTCTTTCGCTCTTGTACATTCCCTCTTCACTGCACGCATCTCTGAGTCAAAAGAAGTTTTTCCTCGGGAAATTCCATAATTCAACACCAAATGAGTTCCCGAGCATGCGATACGTGTAGAAAACGCAAGGTCAGAGTGAGTGCACCAGCACTTCCTTCGTCTATCCTCAATTCCCCCTGATCCATGATCTTATTCGATAGTGCGATGGCGTTGATTCTTCCCCGACGGAGAATCCCTGCTTTCACTGCCGCATGTCAGGCACAGCATGTCAGTATGAACAAACGCCGAAGAAGCGCGGGCCCAAATCCAAGCGTTCAGACGCCAGCGATCGCCTTCGCCGAACAAGGCCATCACTGCTGAGCAACGATCATGATGCTTCCCCACTATCTGGCACAGCCTCACCATTACCTTTGGCTACTAGTCCCACCTATGAGGGGCAGATGCTGGCCTGGGAACTCAGAGTATCGGCCAGAACCACCGACTTGATCGTCTCCCCATCTCTCGAAACGGCGGTCCTCAATGCCAGAATCGAAACTATTCATCAAGACCTTGTGCGCTCCATAGAGGCAATAGATGTAAAGAATACATCTTGGTCACTAGACGCAACAGTCAAACGGTGTATCGACATCTACATGAATGTCATTTTTGGCATCCGGCCCATTGTCAGCGAGGCCCGAATCCGTTCCAACCTCTGCCTCAAGCCTCCAAATTTGAGGACTAATCTCAACTCGCTTAGGTTTCTCTCCCGGACAATGCTTTCTTCAGACACACTAGTTGACCTAGAGAGGATTCGATCATATACCCTTGTAACCGCCCTCTGTGCTGCGACCGCGTACCTGCTGTCAGCCAGCGACGCCCCTGAGGAAGCCGTGGTGGGACCAATGTTTCTACATGCGTCTCGTGAGATGCTACATATTTACGAGCATTTGGATGTGGAATGCCCCGATTCCAGCTCACTTGTCATCCGCATGTTCCAGGCAGGTGCTCTACATACAGATGGTAAATTGCGCCTCTCGTGGCATCTTTTCGGTGCCGCACTTCGACTCGGCGAACAGATGCAGCTAGAGGATCCGCGCTCGTTTCAGGGTATGGATCCTCTCGAAGCTCGGCTGCGAGTCATGGCTTTTCGTACCATCCGGATTTCCGCTCGCTACCACCGGATACTCGAAAACCATCCTCTCAGCATATGCGACCCTCCATGGTCAGCACTTGGGTCTCTAGATGATGAGCCTAAGATTTCGCTGATGATGAGTTCATCATCGTGGGATAAACCTCCGGAGTATGAATCACAGCTCCTCGTGGCGTTTGAACTATTTGAGAGGATCTGGGTAGTGGCATCGGAAATTTTGATGGACCTCGAATGTTTTGTCCGATTTGACCGACGCGATACGTCCGTCTTATCCACGCTGCTAGAGTCACACCAGAACCACTTTCTCGATCCGTACTCGACCTTCCTGGGTTTGTTGGACCAACTACCTCCGTTCCTGCACTCGCCTGAATCGGTTAAGCACATCAGGCACCTAGATGAGACCGTTACTGAGATCCAGTGCCGCCAATTCTGGATCCAGCGCGCTAATCTGTTTGTCAATTACCACTGCTTACGCATGCTAATTTTGAATCGGTTTGCTCAGTACGGCCTGACAACGATGATCGGCGTACAGAAAACGGATACTATGGTTGCGTTACGAAAGACCGAGATTGCGCACGATATGAACGTCTTCCTAACAAATGCCCCGATTGATTCTTTGCTTGTGAATGGTGAAGCATGTGTGAGTTGCGCTCATCCCCCTTAAACCCCCAAGACTCGGTTCTTCTGAATTTCCATGTCGTCATGTCCCTGTTGTACCCTGGGAAAAGGCAGATTTTAGTGTTGTGCGAATTACTGACTGATATTGTAGGTAGCTAAAATCCGTTACATGGGCGCCACGCTTCTCGAAGTGATTCATCAGGTCCAAGCTCCGCAGGTTGTTAAGCGAGCTCACTCGCTATTTTCCTCTTTGTTGGATATTCTAACCAAGCTTGACTCTCGAGCGTCCGATGAACTCATTAGCAAGAATCATAATGCGTCTATCCTTTGATTCATGCTTAGTGCACTAGTAACTACTTCTGAGGAGGGAGGAGGTACCTAACTGTCCTAGAAAGGGTTCAGCCAAAGGAGGCACAACGCAACATATATAGTTATAGATAAAGGGGATTACTAAATTAACCCCCCCCCCCCCCCGGGGGGGCCCTAAAGATACCTGAATTTTCAGGCATACACACATCTATCGGAAATGGGTTGCTGAGCTCATCTAGGTGCACCAATCGGATTTCAACAGGTCTGAATTGCAAAGAAGCCCCTAGCTGGCAATTTGGTGGGCAAAACAATGACTAATACATGCGGATCTATAGTATTTCCTTCCTCCGAGTACCCACTAGTGGTTCTACTGTGACAACATCCAGGCAAACATTTTGATCACGTGAGAAGGGAATGTTATTTTTCCATGCCTTCCTCTCACCGTCCTTACCGCTTTCCATGACCCTCTTACCACCTTCTTCACCGCCCTTACCACCCTCACCGCCTACCCCTAAGATCCTGTCAGACTTCGTGGCGCACGTAATATTTGGTCCACCGCCAGAGGAATGTGAAGGTCTGATTCATTGAATCTAGCAGCGATACTGCACTAAATACAAGAGAAATAGGGGTAATCTAGCTAACTAAAATAGGAAATAGAAACAATACAAGGAATGACCGAGTGGGCGCTGACTAACAGTAAGTTTAGCGTTGAAGCAGAATACTAGCGGTCACTAAAGGTCGACACACCCCCCCAGCGTCAGCGAGGTCATGTACAGTCCTGATAGGTTGAAATATCGACTGTGTACAAGGATGCCTGTTTAGTCCATAATAAGGCTTTTCACATTGACTAAACCAAGCATCTTCATGAATTCTTGGTGTTTTTAGTCTAGAAGGACCTTCGTAAGGCCATCCACAGGCATCTTCGCGCTGGGAACCCATTGGATATTAATATGCTTTGACTAAACTTCTTGACGAAGCTATTAGCCATGTATATCAACATATCAAAGCTTTATACAGATCTAAGGATCCTCCTTAGTAAGTAGGTTAATCGTCTACTGGTTATCACATAGGATTGAGATCTAGTATTCTGGATCGAACTTAATAGCTTTAAATAAGCGCTTCCACTAGAACGTTAATTTCGCGGCTTTAGAGATAGCCAGTAGTTCTGCCTTAGTTGTAGAAGTAGTGACTATACGCTGCTTACTAGCTTGCCAGTTAATTAGTCCTCCGTACAGCTTGCAGAGGTATCCTTTAGTGCTTTTCTAGTCCTTATGGTCTGCGAATGAGGCATCGCTTGCACATATAAAGGTCTCGTTGGGATCTGTCATGCCTGAATACTCAATGGCTAGATATCGCGTGGCGTAGAGGTACGCAATTACTTGATCTACGGCCTTGAGATGCTTCTTAGATAGATTCATAAGAAATTCAGCAAGTTTATTTGCTATATAAGTAGCGTCTAGTCTTGAAATAATAGTTATATATAGAATCAATCCAACTTTCTGCTAGTAATGATGTATCTGCGCTGGCGTTACTTTATCCTTGCTAGGAATAAGCTCGCTACAGGCCATAGGCGTCTTCAGACTTCAAATTCGGTCATTTAGATGGTATCGAGCAGCCATCTTGTCGATGTATAAATCCTAACAAAGCTAGAGCTTCCACGCGCTCCTATCTCGAATAACGCGTATTCCTAGGAACCAGCTCACCTCTCCTAGGTAGCGGAGCTCGTATCGCCCTTCAAGCGCTTGCTTGAAGCGCTTAGCTTCCTTCCATGCCTCTAGATCCTTCTTGTTAACCACGATGATATCGTCCACGTAGAATATCACGAGAAGGTAGTGGTTCGTAAAGAGACACTAGTCTTCGTTAACTACTTGCAGGCTAAATTCTTTAAGCGTTGCGGACAAGTCTTTCTGCCATAATCAAGGGGACCTTCAGAGGCCATATAGCACTTGAATAACCTTCCAGAGCTTGCCTTTTACTTTAAAGCCGTCTAGTAAGCTCACGTACACATCCTCATTAAGAAATGCATTTAGAAATGCGTTTATAGCGTTATACTGCGTTGTATCCAGGTTAAATGCTGCAACCAGGGCCATAATCATCCAGAATATGCGTGTAGTAAGTGTAGTAGCTCGCTTCTCTTCTATAGATTCTGCTTGAAGGTCTCCTCACACGCAGATCCGTGCCTTTGCCTTTATAAAGTTGCCATCCTGATCAAATTTATATATGAAGACCCATAGTAAAGGTATTATATGATCCTGTCCTGCCTCCTGTTATTCTATCACTCTAACAGTTCCTTTCTTTAAGATAGCTTCGTATTTGGTTATACACGCGGTCATGAACTTATTTTAAAGTGGGTATTTAAGCATTTCGTTCCAGGATCATGGCGGCGCTGGTAGATTATCTTAATAAAATCGTTTCTATAGGGTTTAACAGGTTAAACCTATCGCGAAGGCGCTTAGTAAGCTATTTACTTAATCTTCAAACGCAGCGTAGGACTTGAATTAAGAATCTCTCTATACTCTACGTTGTCTTCTGCCTTTAATAATATTACTAGGATCGACTTCTCATCTAGGTCTTTAAACCCGCGCGGGCTCACCCCCTGAGCTTTAAATCTCATTATTCTATAATGATTCAAGAAGTATTCAACTTGGTGAATCATCTCTAGGTTGATTATATGACTCTAGTCTGTTGTTTTCAATCTCTGTGGCTGATTCAGGCGATGGTTCTGGTGTTAAATCTAGGGTTGGAAGCAGAGGTGTAGAGATCTCACTAGTATCCACAACCTTACTAGCTCTACTGGCTCTGCTTGCCTCTGTATCTCGTGCATTTTTAACCTCCTTATCATGATTAGGTATTTCTAAGTCTTCTACCACTAGATCCTCTAAATTATGAGTCTCTAACACCTCTACAGGCTTTGCAGGGCTTGTTTCCTTGATCAGATCTTCTAGAAAAGGTTCCATTAGGTTATATAGTTAAGATTCATTAAACATAACATCTCTTGCCTCTTTAACCTTCTTCTGCTTTAGTAGCCATATCTACTAGATATTTAAAGCCTTATATCCCACGAGATATCTAATAAGTGCTCTTAGAGTGACCTTCTTAGTTCTCTTAAGATCCTAGTTCCTTATATATACGCGGCATCCAAAGGTGTATAGATTTACAAGGTTTAGTTTCTTTCCATGTAGTATTTCGTACGGAGTCTTCTAGTTCAGAGCTCTAATTAGTAATCTGTTTAGTAGGACTACAGCTGCTTTAAAGGCTAGTGGCTAAAGATCTAGTGGTAATCAAGTATTAACTAATAAAGATCTTGCCTTCCTTATTATAACCCCCCTAGAACGCTCCACAGAGCTATTCTACATTAGATAACCACGTGAAGGAGTCTCATGACGAATTCCTTCCCTCTAGATAAGGTCTTTAAACTCTCCTCCCAGCGTATACTTATTATTAGAACAATATATCTTCACTAGCTTACTATATTAATTCTTAGCTAGGTTCGTGAAGTCCTAAAGCGCCTCTACAATCCCATTCTTGCGCGCTGATGTGTATACAACATGGTTATGTATTGCCTTATTATATAGATGAATACACCATTAATCTCCATTAAATGCTTTAATTAGTTAAATCAGGTTAAAATAGACCCTCTAAAACGGCTCCATTTCTCGCTCCGCTAAGCGTCGAGATATCTGCTAATTCGCAGTCAATAAGAGGCATGTCTCGCATGGTTGGGAGCTTGTACAATCTACATTAAGCAGTTTAACTCTAGTCAAGGCCTCTAGTAAGTATCTAATTGCTTCATGGTTTAGATGACCCATTCATTAATGCCATAAGTCCTTATCTTCAGCCAAGATAAGTGGTTTTTCTAACTTTTTAACTACATATACGTCTTCCTGCTTGCTTGGTGGTCTATATTCAATGACCTAAAGGTCTTGAATTATATATAGATTACAGATCTCCTCTTGACCCTTAAGAATATAGTTATTTTTAAAATCCTATCTATACCCTGCTCTCTTCATTCGCTAAGTAGAGAGGATATTAGTATGGAATCCAGGCACGAAAGTAACGTCTCTAAGTAAGATACTAATCCCTTTCTTACTATTAGGCGTAATTCGTATATTGCCTCTGCCCTCTATCCTTATAATCATGTCTCCTACACGCAGCATCCTCTAATCTTCTTCCATGAAGTCCTGGAAGCGAGATTAATCGTTGCATACGTGCACTAAAGCTCTAGAGTCAAGAATAAAACAATTCTAGAGTTCGTATGATAATTCTGTTAAAAAGCTAGTTAGAATAATTACCATTACGTGCTCCTACTAGCTATCCTAGCTTAACATCTTAGAATTCTTTTCTATTACCTTCTTTAGCGCGAACTATGCTCCATTTCACGGCCCCTTTAGAAGCTTTGTAAATCGCGCTTCTATCTCTGGCTTAGGAACCCAGTTTAATAGTTGCTTTAAAGTTATAACATATGGGTAATCAAGAAATCGATGAATTGCTCCGCAAGGACACTTTAGTCGTGGTAAGGGACTTAGTGCAGGTTCTAATGCTTCATCTAATTAGCCTTTTAGTATTATGAATGCTGCATCTAATCTAGAATAACGTACAACTATAATATCTGCTATATAGCCTTGAAATTAAGCAAGGATCTCAGGCAATTTGATCTCCTTATCTCGCTGTAGGTCATTAAATCGTTGTTCCGCCCAGGAAGGTGAATATCTACTAACTGCCTCTAGAAAATGGCGTATAGCATGCTAGTCTTTCACCTCTAGTTAATCCGCAGCAAGGCATTCTAGATAGGCTACTTTAAAGGTTACAAGCTAAATCTCTAGATTTAAGTCCTTAATAGAGGTATTTCTTGCTTTCTCGTACTTTGCGAGGATCATTCAACTCTATTAGTGCTTACTAGGAGCAAATTAGACCTTTAAAGCCTTTAGGATATCGTACACTAACTCCTTCCCATAGATATAGTGAATAAGCAGCGTGCTTATTAATCCACGAATAGCTTCATTAATTACTACAAGTCCTCGC